CATACAAGTTTTAGTGGTAGATAGAGTTTGACAATTCTTGGTCATTTCAATAGTTGAGATCATGAGTCAATTGAAGCTAGACCACCATGGAAAACCTGGAAGCACTGGACGGCCGTTTCGTTGCAGTATGGGACTCCTCAGCAGGAGCGACACTTCCACCATTGTCATCAGTGAGTTCGTATCCCACAACTGACCCGGTTGAACTCCACTGATGACTGCTTCGCACTAGAACTCCAGGATATACCTCTTGATGCCAGTGACTAGTGAGCATATGTTGATTAGTATCAGAAGGGGTTATGTGGAAATTGCAGTAATTTCAATAGTTGAGATAATGATGCATTTGACAATAACCATGATAAATACAAATTACTCTCTTCCTACTAAAAAGAGGAACTGCGACAGAGAAGTATACTGGGAGTTTCGTTTACATATTGTAGTGAAAATCCACAATATTATTAGCGTATATCAAACGTGTATAATAAGCTCTGATTACCATTGTTTTGCATAGTTACAACGATATATATAGAGAGTAAAACAAATGAACCGTGTGCTTAGTTAAGTATCTGCTAATCTGTTTACACAAATTACTTTAATTACAAAAGAATTACTAACAATGTTCAAGTGTACACATAAGAATTTGTTTTAAAGTTATGTATGTGGCATTATGAAACAAACTTACATTAAAGTCTCATAATTTACATAAACATACAATATGCTCAGACATGCTCAATAGCCTATACTCTAATTTTCACATTTTAACAGTAAGGACTATCTATTTTGCACATCTGTCAAATAGATTGGGAGTAAACAGTAAGTGTATGATTATTCAAATGCTTAACAATAAAACCGTAAAAATGACAAGAAAAATCATAATTAACCTGTTAAAAAGTCACTGATGGCTTAAAATAACGTGTTGTTGTGGACGCTTCTTACATGGTTGCTTGTAATTAGTATGTAGCAGAACATGTCGTCGAAGTTGTCACAGTCGTAGGACGGGGAGGAGAGTTAGTACATCAAAATCACGGAGTATTTAGAACTCTCGATGAATAAACTAGAAAACAGTTCTGGTTGCAAAATACATTGCAAGATGCGAATGGATAATATAAGACTATGTATAGAAAGACTGGTTTCTCCATATGTAATCCTACTGTAATCAAGTAGAACACAAATGGGGACAATCGAATGTATGTGAACGCAAAATTACAAAATTTCTTAGTAAAATCTCAGGACCATACAATAAATACTTCATTTGAAACATGTCAATCAGTCGTCTTAGATTTCATTGTTCTTTCGTTTCCACACGAATAATTCTGTGTTCTCGTTCTCTTTTCTTCGGTCTTCTTAACGTTCTGCCTTCAGGCACTTTAGTTCCGATTGGTGTTACATACTACTTATATCTGTCGACATCAGTAGCATACACCACACTCATCCCCACTTTAGGCAGTCATTCTTCCGGTGATTCTGCTAGCGGTGCCACTTTCTTTTCCACAATCTGTACCACATTCTGCGTCTAAACGTCGAGTCTGCAGAAAGTTGATCTTCATGACTCCGTCGACCCATCGGGCCATCAAGATCCGACGTACACGCTGCACCTGGAACGTTCAGCACCTGCACTTCAGCAAACTGCTGAGCCAAGTACATTCGATTTCCGCCCAGCAGCCATACGTTCCACCGCCACTCTCCGTCGACAGCACTCGCTACAGCCAATGCCGCTCCACCAGAACACTTCACTTGACTTCAACTCCCCGCACCAAGCCGTTCCAAATGGCACCTCAGATTCAGGGCCGCAAAGGCGTCTGTAGAACAGCACGCTTCCCCTCCTCTAGTTGGCAGCGACACCAAATGTAGTAAACGAGCACACAAATAGGGACACTCGAATGTATTTAAACACAAAATTACAGTATCTCTTAGTAAAATTTCAAGACCATACGGTAAATCCTTCATTTGCAAAATGTCAGTCAGTCATCTCAGACTTCATTGTTCTTGCATTTCCACAACAATTACACTCTGTTCACGTTCTCGTTTACATTTTTACTCACTCAGAATAAACTGTAACTACGGTTATCGATTCATTCACTTTTATCGAAAACTAAATAAGTTAAATGTTACAAAACTCAAAATGAATTATTATGATGATTGTTGTATTTTTTCTTCATCTATCCTTCGCCAAAAAATGCAAATACATTAAACTTCATACACGAAGAATAAACTATAAAAGTCTTGTCATATTACATCTAACCGCGAAAAGTGTTATAATTTGCAATTTATACATGAAATATTTTTATAATGTTGTATTAACAGAACAAGTGGAAAATATTTCATCAGTAAAGATGATTACTCTTAACATATACTATACAATATGCTTAAACATATTATCTGATCAGTTGAAATGTTCTTCAGAAATTTTAATCATTCCATTATTTTCAGCTGAACAAGTTATCTGATCTTGTATTTTACTATAATTTAAATACATATATGATAAAGTTATTTCATAACACTTGAAGTTTGAAAATGAAATAGAACCATGGAGACTGTTAAAATGTTTACTCTAAGTGATTTAATTATGTACTCAATTTCTTGTTTAGTTGTAGGTAAATATTTTAAATCGCGTCTGAGTTTTATAGAATTTACCTAATAAAAATAACAATTATTCAAATGTATTTAGATAAGAGGATGAAATTTGGCTTAGAAGATTAAAATCTGTATTTCAGAAGAAAAAAAGTAGTTCTCGCATAATATAAACAATGATATACACGAATTAGAATTCAGACATTCTGGAAATCCTAATTGACATTACTTACAAAATATAATAGTTAGCTAAGGGTGTTGATTTATATCAAAATATCACAACGTTCTATCCCTTTTACTCATAAACCACATCATCATTACTGGGCACGGGATAGCAATGGGATATATGTGTTAAGGTTTTAAAAAGAAATTTGTAGAACTTGAAAATAACTTTCGCAAAGAACTGAGGTCAACTGGAAAATATTTGGAAAACGATATTCATGAAACAGTCACTTTTTTATGTCTTAACATTTCTGAACAGTGTAGTTTTCTATAGGATTGAGCTGGTAAGTACGTTAGCCTAATATTCTCTAATCCATACTTTAACTTCAATTATTTTGCGATTATTGTTATTTGTACGCTTTTGTTTCAGTCTTGACTTGATTATTTTTACCAGTCACATTGTATTAAAAATTATGTTTTATTCATGTTCTTTGTCTGTTGTTGTTTAGTAACGTAAATTAAATTTAAGTTACTGATCGTCGACAAATTTACACTGTCTTTAATATATCATATATTAATTTCAATGGTTAAGATCATGAGTCAGTTGAAGCTAGACCATCATGGAAAACCTGGAAGCAGTTGACGGCCGTTTCGTCCTATTGTGGGATTCCTCAGCAGTGCGCATCCACGACTCCGCCCCCTGCGATATTTGAACCCAGGGCCTACTGGTTTCGCGCGCGAGCACTTAACCACTAGAACACTGAGCCGGCATCCAATGGTGTTAATGTTTAACTTCAACTAATCCACGAAATTGAGCGACTCATGATCTTAACCATTGAAATCACTATAATATCCACAAAACCCATCTGATATCATATATTGTTAAACTATCAGATATAATTGATCCCTTTTCTGTTATTAACTTGGATCTGAGAGCATTTCTTATGACTAGGGTCAATAGTAAAAGTAAATAAAAAGTTTATAATTAAAGTGACGTAATATTAAAAGCCTTCTTTCAACAATTAATATCCTTAACGATAGTACATTAGTTCTTTATAGATATAGAGCTGCAATTTCGCTACTTATTGTGAAAAGTTATGCTCATGCTATACATCTATATATTGTTGAGTTAGTGTAGTTTATATCTTTTGTGTGATCGCAAAATGAATAATGTGGTAAATGTACGTCAGTAGAACTTATTGAAATGTGTAGCACAACCACTAAGAATTAGTCACTTGTGTGGAAGAACAATAGCTCTGTGAAAATGGGGCAAAAACAAGCTGGAAATATTTAATTATGAATATTCAAAAACTTTGACATATATCTATAAAAATACTCTTCACCATTAAATTGATTATTTTACGGTCAATTTTCACAACAACTTGACACCATCTGATGAATTGTTAAAGAAAAAAAAGCATCAAACAACTAGTTATATTCACAGTTTGGAATAATCTAAGACTATCTATTCTCATGCTCATGTATGCATGAGACCAGGTTCTACAGTTACTATGATCAGAACAGTATCAGGATTTACTGAGTTAGATGCTAGTTTTTTTTCAAAACGATTCATTTAAATTTCAGAAGTTTACTTTAATTTATTTGTCTCATAATCAATCACACATATTAGATCGTTTAAAATATGTTAACTGAATTATTCTGAAGTTAGTCGATCAACCACTAACATACTTTTTTATTAGTTTCTTACAAATCTCTTTTTTTCTAGGAAAGAAATAATAACTGTCTATCAGCTTGTTTCAAAATTCAATATAAGTTGACCACACATACACAACCATATACATGTATGCAAAACAATTAATATGATTAAGAAAAAACAAGACAAGTCAAATACATGCTATTTTTTTCCAGTCATATATCACCTGAGTATAAAGTAACCAAGTAAAATGAAGTCAATGATCATGTCATAAATTAAATAATAATTTAAGAAAATAATTCACTTTATACTCTGTAAATGAATAAAAGCAAAACATGGTTAGTGTCTATCAGTAGAGTTCAGAACAAGAATCTCATCCTTACTGAATGTAATATCGAGACAATCCAAATAAGATACATATATGCCAATAAGAAACTGATCAATTGCAATTAGAAAAATCAATGGGAAGATTCAAGTAAAATGAATCTGTAATTGATTTTTACAAATTTTATCTCGATATTGAGTCTTTTCTCAAATTCTACATATAATACTGATTAATTATTATTATTATTCTACTAATAATATTAATCATAATGAGTTATTTATTTAAACTTACATATACTCTTTCAATTCATCAATTAACTCCATATCTTCTTCTTCATCTTCTATTAAGCCAGTTTCATCATAATCATGATCATTATTATTATTATTATTATTATTATTATTATCATGTCCTGTAATTAAATTAATTACATCTTTAGTAGCATTTTTCATTTCATCTGATTCATTCAAATGGACATTAGACATTTTTGGTTGTACATCATATGAATATTGTTGTTTTAATGAAGATATTTGAAATGTTTTATTCATTAAATAAATCCTTTTCAATTTATGATTCGGTTTTTCTTCTTGATGTTTTCTTTGATATTGTTGATCATATTGTATACCATTTGGTAAATTGAATAGAAGTGTTAAAGTTGTTAAGAATATTATAATTTTATTCATTTTCTTTCGTTATTAATCCAAATGTTCAATGATTCATACAGATTGTTTTATTATTATTATTATTATTATTATTGACTATTTTAGATAAATAAACCAAATATACAGTTAATGTAATGAAATAAAATTAATTGAAATAATTCCACCGGTTACACAATTCATTAAAAAATCGGTAAAGTTACTCGAAACAAAAGAGAAACAAACAAACAGATCACTAATCAATTTTATAGGGAGGTGAACAAAATTAAAAAAAATAAATAGATAGCTTAGTAACTAACTTATATCTTAGACAATTAAATATATACCTTTGTTTACATGGATTTGTCTATTTAAAAAGAAAAAAAGAGGGAGAGTGAGTGAGTGAGTAAGTGGGTGAGAAAAAAAATACAGAACATATAAAAATGTGAAAAATGTATAATGAACAATCCTTTTCTATCAGTAAATTTATTGTACGTCATTTAAATGAAATGAAAATGAATTAAATAACATTCTTGTCAATTCATGTTATATGCCAACCAATCATAATTCAAATAGGTCTAGGTCATTTTTATCAACATTATTCTCTTTATTATGATCATCATCATCATCATCATCATCATTCTACTTGAGTGTTAGTGATGAGTACGGGTAGAAATGAGTATGTAATTCAGTGAATGTATTGTAGGAATGTAAATAATGCATCCTATATATATATATATATATATATATATATATATATATATATATATATATATATATATATATATATATATATGCACATATACATCCATGGATTGTAGTTGTGATTATGTTTGTTGTTATAGATTCAAATCAAAACACCGGTGGCTTTAAACTGATTGATTCATATGTAATTTAACTATCACTAAAGAAATATCATTGAATTCTATGATTTAAATCAAATCAACTAAAATTGTTTTTTTTTGTTACAATATTACAAACAAAAATACAATGAAAATTCAAAGCTTAACTATGAGTAATATAGTGAAATAAAAATAAAAAAACACAACAACTTACATTCATTTGTGACACACTCTTGGGCTATAATGTGTAACTAGTTATTTAAACCCATAACTCTGTCTGATAATTAGTCTATTATGCAACATTATCCATTTGTTTTATAGCATTGTATATTATTTGGATTGAATTCAGTACCATGTATAGTGTACATTTCAATGTTTTGTCCAAATGTCTACAATTAAGCTTGATCAAATAATGTTAGATGTATCATATGGTTGAACAAAGTTCATTTATTTTTCATAAGATTGTGAGGAATTTTAAAATGTTGGTATGTTGCTAACAGTACACTGGAAAATAAAAATTTAAATCTATGCGTAAAATATATTTGATTATTTTAATATTTACATTTAAGTATCTATATCATTGCGCTATCGTTTAGCTGCAATTATCACATTTAGAGGTATATATAAGGGATAACAATAAGTGTGGTATATGTTACTTATGTCTGTCGACATAAGTAGTATGTAACACTAATCGGAAGAGAAATGCATGGCAGCAGAAGGCTAAGAAGATCAATTTGAAGAAAATAGAAAAAAATGGTGACTTGGAAGAATCATACAGAATGTGTAGAACAAGTGAGAGAATTTTGCAAATGAACGATTCAATGTATAGTTTTCATATTTTACCAGGATATTTTATACATTGATTATCCCCACCTGTGATCATATTCACAACATGAGGTCTTTATCTACTCCATTATTAACTCATTAATTGTTTAAAGTAACAATTTAAAGGTAGGATTTTACAAAATCACTGTGTGAGAAATAATATCAGGGTTTATATTCCTCATGAGTGACAGGTAGTTCAGTGTTCAATAAATCCTCATATCTTATAATAATTAATGTTCATCGTTATAATTTTACAGAAAAAATAGAATTTCACTTGAAAATTTCATTTTTTGTTTTGATATTTCGCTCCCTAAGAAATGAATTTTGAAGTGTCTTATAGAATGACCATCATATGAAATTTTAAAGTTAGTTTTAAGTAGAGCGAAAACAAAACCTCTGAGTTTTACTACTTACTCTACTGTGCAATAAATAAGAAGTCATCATCAACGATTAAATCCATAGTTTTAAACAAATAAGGTTAGTGTAGCTTCAATATATGGAATATTGTTTCTAATCGATTAAGAATAACCCTACAGAAGTCTTTTAGAAAAAATCTTTTACACAGTTAATTATAGTATTAAAACCACCCTACTAAACACTTACAAATGAAGAATAGTTTACCCCATTCAGTTCATCTTAATTAATATTAACTTGTTCATACGTTAATATGGAGGCAAACACAATGGTTGCTTATCTCGGCTTCTCTGTCATTATCTTTGATATTAATTATTACTATGATCTGACAACTACAACAACCACCATCAAGAAGGTGAAAGTATTTATAAATAGCTGTCTATGCAAGATACTCAACATCCCTTGACCGGATATCATCAGCAACAGCCTTCTGTGGGAGAAAACAAACCAGCTTCCAGTTGAAGAGGAAATTAGGAAAAGAAGATGGAAATGGATAGGACATACATTACGCAAATCATCAATTTGCATCACGAGGCAAGCCTTAACTTGGAATCCTGGAGGGAAGCAGAAAAGAGGAAGGCCAAATAACACATTACGTCGGGAGATAGAAGCAGATATAAAAAGGATGAATAACAACTGGAAGGAGCTGGAAAGGATTGCCCAGGACAGGGTTGGATGGAGAATGCTGGTGAGCGGCCTATGCTCCTTCACGAGGAGTAACAGACGTAAGTAAGTAAGTATGATCTGACAAAGAATAAGGTAGATCTATAACATACTCACTCTTAAAATAATCAATGATTTAAACAAAATAAGATTTTAATTTTTGTTGTTGTTGTTGTTGATGTGATACACAAGATCTTAGCAAATATTTTCAATTCTATTTTACATTGTTGAAGTTTCAGCCAAGGTTATGTAAACAAAAATGGTTTATGATACTTTATTCTTATGCATTATTCATTAAAACATTTCTGGTTTTCTTTTCATTTTATAACTGAAAAAGACTGACTATTCGAAATTATTGATTGTCACTTATATGAATTCATAAATTAATGATATACATCATTTCTATGCTTAAAATGATAATTCATTACTTCCTATATACTTTTTTCTTACAGTCACCTGTCAATATATTTTGGGAACGATATAACCAACTTAATTACCAAAACGTGCTACATTAACAACTGAAATGTATATTAATTTTAGTGAAAATAGACTGCAGTTAGCACTGGAATCTATGACTCGTACTTTAGTATTTTTAAGACTCGTCCGTGAAGTGTATCACTATCCCAGTATTGATATTCTTGGTGACACTCGAGTTCAGTATCTTTTGTATCATATCTCGATTTGCTATGTATCATAGTATTGAATTTGGTCAACTACTTGTTTATTCAACAGGTATGAAGATATTAGTAATGATTTATAATTACCTATCGTTGTCATTCAGAATTGAGATCGATCAGTTTCTGTTGACATTTGAGGAGATAGCTTTGATATTACTATTTACTTACAAGTCTTGATTAACTTAACAATCTATTATAACATATTATATTCTATATTATATGAGTATACAATTTGATGGATAACATCATATTTATGTGATTGAAAACCGAATTGTAAAAACGAAATCCTTTGTTGAACCTATGGTTATTTAACACTAAAAGACCTCTTCAAATTAAAATGTGTTTGTATCTTATAACTAAATAATATGAGTAGATTTATACCTAATAATTTGTGGCAACGTTAAATCTCATATGATTCATCTCCTTGATTTACATAATATTCAGTAGTACTTTAATGTCAAGGTTCCAAAGTTTCCATATGGAATTGTTTAACAGCCTGATGCAATCACTTGTCTGCATTTTGCTAAGCAGGATAAAATGAGAGGGAATGTTGTATTTGTTTTTTTTCCTTGTTTATTTGCTGAAATCTAGTCACCAATTAGCTTGTGTGGTGAGATGACCGTACGATACGAACAATGTCTTTCACTGGCATTAGGCTACTATCTACATAGAAAAAACAGCGATAAGAATTATATATATTAAGTGTAGATTGATATCATCTGAAGAAAACCACTTGGACATTTAGAGCTACTTCACATTCATTTGAGATCATTCATAGATCCTCATTCACAATTTAAGTGTTGACACTCATATTAAAAATGGGAGCGAACACCTGATTCTTCTCTTGTCAGAAATTCAATTACAGTTTTATTGATTGAGGATAATCCTGTGCTACACAAGGGATATTCGTTATTGTCCACTTCGTGATGTTGATTTACTGAAACAAATAGATATAATTCTTTTAGTAGTATTGTATTTACTGAGAGAGTTAGTTTAATTGTCGGTATTTCATCTTTCTGAAGTACGTCATCAAAGGTTTATTCACTTGTGTGATATTCCACCGAATTTAGTAACAACTTGCATTAAAGGAGTGAGGCGTTAATAAACATTCATATGATAGTTTAAATGCCCTTTTTTTCACTAAGCTGAGGCTCATCACACACGAGTGAAATCCTAATTTACCAAGATAAAAGTACAATGTGTTTCAAATTTCATTCCATGATCAAATTTTGATTCTACTTTGTCTAAATCACCATGATAATCAGTAAAGAGTAAGTTAATTTGCGACATATTATTGTTTGTCAGAAACCAATTTTTTTCCTTCATCTATAGAAATAATAAACATTATGGAATAGGACTGAGTAAACTTATAAAATATCTTGACCTTTGAAGCTTTTGTTTACATCTCTGTCAAGACATTTTTATATTAACTGATTACAACAGGAGATTTTATTTGAATTGCCTAACAAATTATCATGTTTGTTTGATTATTATGTCGATGTTACTTCACGTGGAAAATTAGATCAGAATGTATTGAAACGTATTACAGCTCACCAGGTCTTTAAACTGTTCGGACTGAGAAATATAACATTTTTCTTATTTTCAGAATGTATAAATCTAATCAATCCATGATCTTGCGCAATCTTTCATCCATTGCCTAAAGTGGATAACGGTCTCACACCCGACATGGATTGGACTCCACTGGTCACGGCTTCTCACTAGAACTCCAGGAAATCCATCTTGAAGCTAGTCACTAGTGAACACATGATTAATATCAAAATGTGGATTTGTGGATATTGTAGTCATTTTAATAGTTGAATTCATGAGACGATTTAAGCTAGAGCACCATTGTAAACCTGGAAGAATTGGATGGTTATTTCGTTTTAGTATGAAACTATTCAGGAGTAAGCATCCGCGATCTAATAATCATACTTATTGACCATTTAATTAAACCAAACGAACAATATATTCAGAAAGTAACAAATCAATAATTGGCATGACGTTACTTACTTGATGATGACAAATGATAAAATCTTTTTTTAACAATTACCATTCTATCTTTATCTTTACTCACTATTTGAGTCAATATGCAAGAATGCACAAATGATAACATCATTAAGATCATCTTATGATAAGTGACACTAACATTGACAGTTATATGAAAGGTATTTTGAAATGGTATTACAGACTTATTACATACTCACTATTTGTAATAAA